TGCGCGCGCGTGCCGGAATCTGTTTAGAATTTGTTGGTTTCGCGCGGATTTCAAAGTCTAGTGCCCCGAAAATATCATATCAATGATTTTGTACCGGGAATTCTCGAAAAAAACTCTCGCGCGCGCTCGTGGGAATTGTCAAGGAAGACAACCAGCGCTTCTGGCAAACAAAATCGTGTAACGTAACCAAGCGGGCCTCTCGCGGGCGCATGTAGATCGAAGGCATTCGGACGCCCTTGACGCGCGCGAAGTGCACTCGCGCGCGTCGCCGCGCGCGACAGCCGAAATCTTTCAAACCCTCTAGTTTTCGCAACGGCTTTAAAAGCGAGTGCCCCGTGCCCCGGAAACATATAGAAACCAATGGCTTCGCAATTGGGTTTTTCAAGAATGCACGCGCTCGCGCTGTTGTGAATTATCTTAATGTATGAACGAGCGCGTTCTGTGGGCGCTTGGAGGGGGTGGTTGGAAGCTGACCCCCCTGGATTGAGGGAGGGGGTGCTCGAACCCCCCCCACCTCTCTCCCGTGACGGGAGGGGGGGTGGCGGTCGACCTATCTTTCCTGTTTCCGTCTCCTCGGGCCAGCGCCGGCGTCGGCGGCGGTTGGCGGCGGCGGCGGACAGCGTCGACGAGGACGGCGCCTGCGGCAGCTGGCAGCTGGGAGCGTTGACGGGGACGACGTCGACGGTTGTGGTGGTGGTGGTGGAGGTTGTGGTGGTAGGTTGTGGTGGAGGTGGATATGGTGGTTGTGGCGGTGGCGGTGGTGGTGGTGGGGGTGTGGTGGTTTGTGTTGGTGGTGGTGGTTGTGTGGTCGTTTGTGGTAGTGGTGGTGGTGTGGTGGTTTGTGGTGGTCGTGGTGGTGGGTTGCTGTGGTGGTACTGGTGGTGGTGTTTGTGGCGTTGGTGGTGGTCGTGTGGTGGATTCTGGTATTGGTGGTGGTGGTAGTCGTGATGTGTTTTTGTGGTGATGATGGTGGTGGTGGTGGTGGTGGTGGGTTGTTGTGGTGATGGTGGTGGCTGTGGTGGTTGAGGCTGTGTGGTGGTTTGTGGTGGTGTTGGTGGTGTTGGTGGTGTTGGTGGGTTGTGGTGGTGGTGGTGGTCTTTGTGGTGGCTTGGTGGTTTGTGGTGGTGGTGCTGCTGGTGCTGGTGGTGGTGGCGGTGCGTGGTGGGTGTTGGTGGTGGTGGTGGCGGTGGTGATGGTGGTGGTGGTGCGGTGGTTTGTGGTGGTGGTGGTGGTGCGTTTTGGTTGTGGTGGGTTGTGGTGGTGGTGGTGGTTTAGTGGTTTGTTGTGGTGGTGGCGGTGGGTTGTGGTGGGTTGTGGTGGGTTGTCAGGTTGTGGTGGACGTCGGCGACGTCGACGACGACGTTGTCGCTGGGTGGTGGTGGAGGTGGTTGCTGTGGCGGTTGTGGTGGTGGTGGCGGTGGTGGCGGTGGTGGTGGTGGTGTGGTGGTTTGTTGCGGTGGTGGTGGTGGTTGTGTGGTGGTTTGTGGTGGTGGTGGTGGTGTGGTGGTTTGTGGTGGTGGTGGTGGTAGGTTGTGGTGGTAGTGGTGGTGGTTGTTGCGGTGGTGGTGGTGGTGCGGTGGATTGTGGTGGTGGTGGTGGTAGTAGTTGTGGTGGGTTGTTGTGGTAGTTGTGGTGGTGGGTTGTTGTGGTGGTTTGTGGTGTCGGTAGTGGTGGTGGGTGTGTGGTGGCTTGTGGTTGTGGTGGTGGGTAGTGGTGGTGGGTTGTGGTCGTGGTGGTAGTGGTGGTGGCGGTGATGGGGGTTGGTGGTGGTGGCGTGTTCTTTTGTGGTGGTGCTGGTTTTGGTGCTGGTGCTGGTACTGGTGCCGGTGCTGGTGGTGGTGGCGGGTGGTGGGTGGTGGCGTTGGTGGTTGTGGTTGTGGTGGTGGTTGGGTGGTTTGTGGTGGTTGTTGTGGTGGTGGGTTGTGGTGGTGGTGGTTTGTGGTGGCGGTGATGGTGGTGGTTGTAGTGGTGGTGTGGTGGTTTGTTGTGGTGGTAGTTGTGGTGGGTTGTGGTGGGTTGTGGTGGGTTCTGGTGGTGGTTGTTGTGGCGGTTGTGGTGGTGTAGTGGTTTGTGGTTGTGCCCGTGGTTGTGGTGGTGGTGGGTTGTGCTGGTTGTGGTTGTGGCGGTGGTGGAAGCGGTGGTGGTGGTGGTGGTGGTGGTGGTGGTGGTGGTGGTGGTGGTGTGGTGGCTTGTGGTTGTGGTGGTGTGGCCTTTGGGTCTTCCCGCCACCGTGCTTTGGCTTTGGGTCAGAGTTCCACTGGGTGCCTCTTGGGGTCTCGTCAGAGTGGTGTCGGGGGCGTCTGAAGATCATGTGCGAGGGTTCCTGGGCGCCTCTTGGGCGTCTCCTGGAACTTCCTAAGGGCCCTGGTGGCTTTTGGGGGGCGAGGGCTCGACATGGCGGTTTGTATTTTCCCGCTGCGGCCTCATCGTCGCTGCGTCCCCGCCGTTGGTGAGCAAAACATACAATTACACAGGGTTTCGCAACACGGATCTGCTAAAAAGTTTACGCGCGCGTTCTCGCTAAATCTTAAGAAAACAATAGGCTTTCAGAAAATACTACCAAACGGGTTTCGCGCGCGCATGTCGAAATCGTTCGAACGCCCTTGCGCGCGTGCCATCGCGTGAATCCCCTGCAAAAAATGGGACGAAGTGCGCGCGCGCGTCGTCGCGCGCGCATGCCGAAGTCCGTCAAAAATCTTCGACTTCGGAAGGATTTCAAAATCGAATGTGCAAACACCATGCAAAAACACACGGTTTCGCAACACCGATGTTCAACAGAAATGTGCGCGCGCGCTTTTGCGTCGTCGTCGTCGCCGTCCTCCCTCCTCCGTCGTCGTCGTCGTCGTGATCGCCGTCGTCGTCCTCTGTCTTTCCTCGTCGTCGTCGTCCTCTTTGGCGTCGTCGTCGTTTCCGTTGTCGCTGTCGCCGTGGTCGTCCTTACTCCTCCCTCGTCCGTCGTCGGCGTCTCGTCGTCGTCCCTCCTATTTCGTCGCCGTCGTCGTCGTCGTCGTCTTCCCTCCTCCCTCGTCGTTGTCGTCGTCGGCGTCGCCGTCCTCCCTCCTTTTTCGTCTTTCGCGTCGTTGCCGTCCTGCCTCCTCCCTCGTCGTTGTCGTCGTTGTCGCCGTCGTCGTCCTCCCTCCTCCCTCGTCGTCGTCGTCTTCGTTGGCGACGTCGTCGTCGTCGTGGTCGTCGTCGTCGTCGTCGTCGTCGTCTTCGTCGTCGTCGTCGTCGGCGTCGTCGTCGTCGTCGGCGTCGTTGTCATCGTCGGCGTCGTCATCGTCGTCGTCATCGTCGGCGTCGTCATCGTCGTCGTCGTCGGCGTCGTCGTCGTCGTTGGTGTCGTCGTCGTTGTCGTCGTCGTCGTCGTCGTCGGAGTCGGAGTCGTGGTCGGTGTCGTCGTAGTCGTCGTCGGCGTCGTCGTCGTCGTTGTCGCTGTCGTCGTCGGCGTCGGTGTCGTTGCCAAGTGCCATTTGGTACCTACCGTCACGGTCTTAAAAGGTCTTGCGACCAAGTTGCGGGTGGGAGGGTGGGATGTTTGCACGAGCAGTGGAGAGGACAGTTTCAAGACAGTCAAAGTGAAATTGCACCACATAGATTCTCTTTTCTAAGAGAAGGTTCTACCACCCTCCCCCCCGGACTTAAAGATTTCCGTTTTCGTATTGCAATGTGCATATGATTCTTCCCCACCGCACATCCAAATGCGCATTCCTAGTATCCCAGCCAAACCGGTATCGCCCCCCCTTCGATTCCGATGCAAAAAACACTATGCGCGCGCACTCGTTCACCAAGAATCAGAAGTGGTCAAGAATCCCGTGGAAAAAAATGTGACAAAGTGCACACGCGCGCGTCGTCGCGCGCGCATGCCGAAATCATGTAAAAACATTCGTTGTCGGAGTGCATTTAAAATCGAGCTTCTCAACAAAACATAAAAACACATGGTTCCGCAACGCGAATTGTCTAAAAAAAGCTTGCGCGCGTTCGGGTGGATTCTTAAGAAAACCATAGCTTTTTCAACATTTCCAGAACATGCTACCAAACGGGCTTCGCGCGCGCATGTCGAAATCGTTCGAACGCCCTTGCGCGCGTCTGGGGGGGGCACGATCCGTGCTAAATGATACCATGCGGGCCACTCTGTCGCGTCTGCCGCGCGCGCATTTCGAATTCCTTCCAAAACCTTCATCACCGACGCGACGACGCCGTCATCGTCGTCGGCGTGATCAGCATCGGCGCCGTCACTGACTGCCACGTCGTCGCTGTCAGTATCGTCGCCAGCATCGCTACTATCATCTTTCTGTCTACCGTTGTCGACGTGGCCATGATACCGCGCCCGCCCAAGTCGCCGACAAGTGCCCGCTGGGATGTGCCGAGCGGTCAGCGCCACCGCGTTCGCGTCGGTCGCGCCAAACTAGCTGGCCGCTGCGCGCGAGCATGCGCGGGCTAGCGCGGCCGCAGAGATACACCAGCCAACACCAAGCTCTCATTGCAATCGCCGCCGCATGGGTTTTGCAAACCAAGATGCGGTTGGGTGGGTGGGATGTTTGCGCGAGCAGTGGAGTGGACAACTCACTGCGAACAGAAATTAGTTGCATCACGTAGATTGCGCCACGTAGGTTGCGCCACGCTGTATGCTAGTAAACACGGTTTAGATCCCACGCTGGCTAACAGATGTTCGAATCGCATCCCGTAGCCTGCACCACATGGATTGCGCAATGGACGTGCGGCCACCCATTGTTTAAGGCCCGCGTTGGCAAACAGTTCGGGGTTCATCCAGGAGGGCTGTCTCCTCTGGTGGCCCCTGCGTCGCTTTAGGGAGGGAGTTGCGCTAGGATGCTGGGCCCCGGAGCGCGGAAGAGGGGAGGAGGAAGTTCTGCCTCTTCTTTCACCTGCCGATGCAGTTGCTGCTGAGTTGATCGTAAACTAGGGGTGAGGTAAGCGAGGAGGAAATGAACTTCTAGAACTGTGATGCGGCGAGCCCTGTCTCTACCTTGCCCCCGGCGGTGGCCAGGACCCGTCCGCGGAGGGCGAGGACGACCCCGTCGCAGAGGTGAAGCTGCAGCTGTGGAGCCTTCTGTTTGCGATGCTCTATGGCTTGAGTCCCAGGGGGCTAGCTTTGTCGGGCCACGCCATGTGGCGGTTCAGTGGAGGACCGTGAAGGGGCAGGAGGAGGTGGAAAGGGGAGGGGAGCGGAGGAGGAGGACAAGAGCAGAAGATGGAGGGTGCGGAGTTGGAGAGGGGGGGGGGGAGCAGCGAGGGTGGGCCCAAGGATCTGCGGAAGTCTCCAGATTTTCGTTGGGGCCTCCGCAGCTCGAAGGCTTGTGGAAGGAGGGAGGGGGGAGAAGAGGGAGGAGGAGAGGAGGGGAGGAATGGGAGGAGGACGGGGCGCGGCCTCGGGCGGCCCTCAGGCCGGTGTCCCAGCATTGGCCCCGCAGATTCCGGGCAATATAGCCGGACGAATATGGAGGGAGTCTCTCCCCTCTTCCTCGGTCTCCTCCTCCTCCGCCTCCTCCTCCTCCTCCTGGTTCTCTTCTCTTCGTCCTCGTCCTCCTCTTCGTCCTTCCGCAGCCATTTTGGCTCAAGCCTGGGGGCTGGCCCAAGGCGGGCTGTATTCAGCTACATTCTACACTCGACCCTCGCAGACGGAGCCGCGTCACCCTGCGAGTTCCGTTCAGGCCTCGACGACTCGCTTCACGCCCGCCTCGCCTGCCATGTCGTCCGCAGGGCGAGGTGATGCCGACGGCGGCGCGGGACCGCGGAGGACGTGGCCCTCGCCGTGCTACGCCTGGTGCTGGTGGGGTCCTCTAGCTGTCCCACGAGACTGCCCAGCGTGCCAAGGGCAAGGGCTGGTCGGCGCCCGCCGCTGCGAGCACGGACGAGGACCCCCCAGAGACGCAGCCCTTCGGCGCCTCCGCTGCGAGCGCTCCTCTGGCTGGGGCCCATCGCGCGTGTTCCGCAGACGCTGGCTCTGCGGAACCCTCGGCCGCCTGCATCGGCACGCCTGCGGCAGCACGCGGTGGCAGCGCGACTGCTGGCAGGAACCCGGCGTTCGTCACGGACCCCTGGAGAGGGCAAGCGCCGCCCGGACACTGACCACGCCACCGAGCCGGCCCACGAGGCGCAAATGATCGACGATGATGGCGATGACGAGCTGGACGGCTCGAAGGGTGAGCCCGCCCTTGTCAACCACTACGGCATCCTCACGCACGAAGACCTCTTGGATGGAGCTGGCGACCATGCAGATGACCGGCTCGTGCCCGCTCCACCCGTCGGCGCGCGCTCGCCGCTTGCGGAGGCGCTTGATGATCGTGCTGCAGGTGCGGAGAAGGTAGGCTCGGACGGCGCTGGGCCAACGGCCTTTCGTCCGCGCTGGGCCCCAGTTCTTTTTGGCCTGTCTGGCTCTCCTGGTGGCGCTTCCCCGAGCTCGATGGCTTCCTTCAGCCTTGGGACCACCACCAACAGCATCGAAGCGGGCATCAACGGGCGCCACATGAAAAGGCACCATTGGACTGTCCACGTCGCCAACCACCAAGCCGCCGCTGGCGCAGTCGTCGCTCTTGTAGCCGCTGGCGCAGTCGTCGCTCTTGGCAATCCGCAGCGTTTCCACATAGCTTGCGACGACGGTCGCCACTGTGATGGCGCTGGTGCGGGCAGCGCTGGGCCCGTGGCGGTCTCGCCCAATGGTGGGCCCCTTGCTGCGGCTTTACCTCGCGCTCTTCCCGGTGCTCTCGAGGGCGATGAGGCGGCGGCGCCAGCCGGCGACTCGCCTGCTACCCCGCCTGGCGGGAACCCCTCCGTCAGTCTCGACATCCGCGAGCTGCTCCTCATTTACTTCGACTCGCTGACCCACGACATCACGGGCGCAGCCAACGCCGCGCGAGGGCTGGAGAGCCCTCGCTCGGAGCTGCCCCTGCGGCTCCAGCCACTCGAGCAGGCCCGCGAGCAGGTGCTCGAGGCCCCCGTGGCCCTCCTCAAGACAGCCGTCGAGGAGCACGCCGCCGCCCAGGCCGCCGAGAGCGAGCGCCTCATGCCTGCCTGGGTCTCCGAGGCGGAGGCCCGGCCCTCCAGCCAAGCGAGCGCTCGGGCTCGTCCGATGACAACTCGAGCTCTCCTGGGTCCCGCGCAGGCCTGGTGCGGGTGCTCCTCCCTCTTCTGCGAGCGGCAGCCGCGGTGCCCCCCTGGCGGCGGAGCTGCCCTTCACTTCTCGGGGTCTCGGGTCCCCGGGGGGCCGCGGCTCGGACGACGCTGAGATTCGGGTCACTGGTTTCGGGGAGAAGATGTTCAAGACCGCCCTCCTCGAAGCCGCCGCAGCGGTGATCGCGCTCCGCGTGCCGGCGCCCATCCGCAGTGATGTTGCGCCCAGCGCTGACAACTTGCGCGTGACTTTCAGCCTCCAGTTAACAGGTGACGAGGCTGCGAAGGCCTCCGCGGAGAGCTTCCGCAAGCAGTTGTACGCACGTACGGCGCAGGTTCGGCGTCGATCTCATCTCATCCTGACACTCCGAGGTCAGCGATGGGCCTGCAACATGATGCTGGGCGAGCTGTGGAAGGGCCTCCATGCCCTCATGGAGGCGAAGCGGACCTGGCAGCCCGAGGTGCAGCTTGGTTGCACTGGCTCTGGGGGTGACCTTCCTAGCCTCCAGCGAACAGATCTTCTAGCTATTCGAGGACACTGCTGACCTAAGCGGGGGATGCCCCGTCCTCCCCCAGGCGTGATGCATGAGGGCGAACAGCTGCGACGCCACCGCCTTCAAGAGTATGACCGAGATGGCTCTTCTAGTGGCATCCAGCCGCTAGGATGGTCTCCTCCTGCGTCGACAGGGCGGTGCTCAGGCCAGCATCGACGTGGAGTCGGTTCGCCATGGTCGAGAGCTCGCGCAGACTGTTCGACGGGAGCGTCTACGCATACCATCTTTGAGCATTGCGCTAGCTCATGTAGCCGATGCGGGCAGCGCTGAGGGCCCAGAGCCGCTTCTGTCAATGCAGAAGGAGTCGCCGCTGGCCCGAGTGGCGATCCCTACCAACATGCGTCTCCCGCGCCTGATGGCACCTTTCGAAGGCGGTTCCTCTTCCATTTTGGCCGAGTCGCCTGCTATGCATTCCTCCATCCGCATGGGTGGTCAAACACGTGAGCCCGTCGGCTACGTTCATTTGTCGTCTGCTAATCGCCGGGCCCGCGACACTGGGGTTTGTGCCAGTTGTCCCTCGCCCTCTCGCCCGCTTCCAGCATCGGTTCCGTTTCCGCCAGCGGGTCGCTCAGTCACTCTTCGCATTTCTCTTCCTGTTCCTTCTCGTCTTCTGCAGTAATTAACGCCGTCGGCGAAATTTTCCGCCCATGTGCGCGGTTGCTGGGCCCTGCTGGCGGGGCGGTTCTGGGCGGTTCGTCTGCTCCATCTGCCGCGTCTACTGCTACTTTGGTCCTTCCGTCTGCACGTTCGCCGATGTCCTTCCACTTGTCCGCCGCTTTCGGGGTCGTCTCTGGGGGGCGCGCGCGCGCGCGCTTTGCGCGCCTCGGCATGGGCGCATCCTCGGGTTATCCAACCGAAGCTCGTTACGTGGGCGAATTGACGGTTTGATAATGCGCGTTCAGGGGACCCGTGGCGTTGACGGGGACTCGTGGCTACATCTGCTGGGCCGCACGGGCTCGGCCCTCTCCGCTCAAGCCGCGACGCTGGAGGTTGCGCTTTCTATCCCTCTGGGCGTAATCGGCGTTCATCTTCTCTCATACTTCATCGCATCGCTATTCCCGACCAGGTGCATTTCCTGGACATTGTCGGGGATCTCTAGGGAGGGCGCGCGCGAGCGCGACATCCGCACCGCAAGGGCCCGTAGTATCGGCCACAGGTGCATGCTCGAACATGTGGCACATCGCGCGGCTCCTCCTGGTCGGTGCAATACCTTCTCTATCGGGGACTTCACCAGTCGGGCAATACATAGGGGGTGCCCAGTGCGGCCCACTGGGGAGTTTGTCTGTTCGGACCAGCCCTGCCCTGCACAAGTTCCTCGCGATGGCGCTCCGCCGGCGACGCCGCCAATCATGAATGCATCTCTGACCGCGATCTTGTTGCGGTGGCCCTGTCCGTCCTCGTCCAAAGGAGGCCGTGCGATTGTTCGGTTGGTTGCCGATCACCGATCCACTCCATGCCTCTCCCGAGCGGGCGGCAGCAGTCCTGTCAGAAGTTGGGGGAGGTGATCGAGGACGATCGAGGCGATCGAGGGCGTTGAGGGGACGAGGACGTCGAGGAGATCGAGGACGCTGTCGTCGTGTCCAGTTGAGGGGATCGAGGACGTTACGGGCGCCCTTCGTGCTGCTGCCGCTCGGACACTCGACCCCGCCCCCCGCCAGACCGCAAACGCTGCGCCCCAGCAAGTCTCGCTGTCGCTCGCGTCCGCGAGGGGGCGCACAGGCATGCAATCGGGCCAAGGTCGCCGCGCCGTCGGGGTTCGCCTCTACTTTTGGAAGCGCGCGGACGTGAGCAACTGGATCTGGGTCGAACAGGGCGGGGCTCATCGTCGCTTGGGTGGTCTCTCGAACGCGTCGCTTTCCTCGGAGCTCTCGGAGCTGGAACCCTTAGGCCTCTCGCCCCAGCGCTGGGCCGATCGAGGGCGTTTGGCCCACTTCTGCTCGGCGTGTTCCTCTCGGCGCGGTGCTAGACCTCGACGACGCTATTGGGACTGATCCGATCAGTTCCAGGGGTGTGCTGGCCATCCACTGGGCTTGAGGTCGCGCCTGGGGTCTGTGCAGCGGGCTTGCCAGGTCCCTCCGACGGCGCATTCGAGAAGGTCCTTGCCCGCGCTGGGTGGAAAGCGCTGGGGAATGAGTTCAACGAGCTTGTAAGCAGCTTGCGCGATTCTGCTGCTGGGCCGGACGGCCCCCCGTACTCGGCGTGGAAGAATGTTGGCATCCTCGCCCTCGCTGCTCTTCATGGGCTTGATTGGCATCCTCGTGATTTCTGGCCCCCCTGTGCTGGGTTCAGGTGTTCCCCAGGATTTGCCCTGGTCAAAGGTGCGGAACTTGGTGGCGACGTTTGCGCTGGGCGCCCTCCCGATGAGACTCTGTTGTTCTGCCCGCTTGCGCGGATTACATGTTTCT